ATTATTATTATTATTATTATTATTATTATTATTATTACTATTATTATTATATAATATCAAACTTTATTAACACTCAAAGCAAATAACTATTTACAAGTTAAAAGTAAAAACGACCTAACAGTAGTTCCGATTTCAATTAATCCTATTTACAATCTAAACCTTTTCATCATCATCAATATTATTATTGTCGATGCTAAAATAAAAATGTGTCTATTGTTCAAGAGATAAAATTACACTAGCCCTAAAATATAATCGTAATAATTTAATAAATTCACAAAAAGGTAGAAACAAAAAAAAAAGAAAAGGTATATATAAAACTTGGTAAAATTCACAAAACTACATTGGACAGGCTGTAGCGTTGTCGAGGGAGAAGTCCAAGTCAATGATATCGAGGGTTCTTCTGATGGATCGTGATCCTCTCAGGCATAGCAAAGCTGAACAAATGAGCACAAATGACACCTTGGCTCTAATCCATGACATGGTGCTTGCATGGTGCTTGCTTGCATCATTATTATTATTATTATTATTATTATTATTATTATTATTATTATTGTTATTATTACTAACTAATTTTGATAGCAGAAGAAGGTATGGCAGCTAGCTAGTATCAGAATCATAAATTGATGAGGTTTTGACAGCTGATCCTCAATTCTTTAGTGTCAGGGATTAAGAATTGGTAGTCAAAGATTGAGAATGCAGTCTTTGTCTTTTAGTCATCAGTGTAAGTGTTGGGTACCTTAGTGATGAGGTAAATCTTTTGACTGGAAAGGACTCACAAGTCTTTAATTGACTATATCTTTCTGTTCCAGTATGTTGTATTTATTGTGGTTGGAACTGGTCTCCTGTTCATGCTCGTGTTTCATATTGGACTGAAAGAGCCTCCAAGAAGTTGTACGTATATATTTGCAAATGAAAAAAGTAAGAGAAGTGCTGGAAACTGGATGCATTGGTTTAAAGAAATCCAGTTCTATCAGGTTTGTTTGAAAATTAGGGGAAGAAAATATTTATTTTAGTTTACAATAAATATCAGCAGACAAAAAAGGGTATTTGACTACATGCACACATTTTTGCATGCAATTTGGGCATGTAATTTTATTATTTATAATAAAATACATTTGTGCATGTAATTTTATTATTTATAATAATTTGTCTCTATACGCACTGCATACGCACAATTTATTATTTTTATTTACTATAATTATAATTTATTAGGTTTTTTTTCTGTTACTGCTAGCAGCTGTCATCTGATGTTTAGAATTTTAAAAGGACTAAGAGCCACAAAAGAGCCTGAAACTTTTTTTTCTCAGTTAGATTTCATCTTACCTTGATGCAGGTAGAATATCTAATCATGAAATTAGAGAATAACTTGAGTTTGTCTGAATACCAATAAGCAGTGAGTGTAATGATGTTATTTATTTTCACTGATCTGACAGGTGGCTGCTCTGTATATGTGCACTCGTCTGATTGTTAACATCACGCAAGTGTATATCCCCATGTATGCTCTTGAAACACTGTTGCTGAGCAAGGTGTAGTGAATATTTACTGTTGTAAAATACAATAGATCCTCAAATAAGTGCCCTTTGAATAAACACCCCTCCTTCGAATAAACAAAGTTTTTGTTGCTGTTGGACACTCGCGTTGGTAATGACACAAAGAAATTAAAGCAGCAGATATTTGTGCAAATTACGGCTGAGTCACTTATTTCATTTTTCGCTTCCCATTTGCAGTAAGATGTATGTCAGCCTGAAGTAAGCATCTACTGTCTGTAAGGAACTTTTGTGAGGGGAAGAGGGGAGGGGGGGAATGTGAGTATGAGCCTTAGTAGACAAGAGTACCCCAAAGGAGGTGTGCCTTTATGACTTATGTTTTTTAAATGCTCCTTAAACTTTGATGTTCAAAGCCTCTTCCTTGATACTGCAATGATTTTGCCTTTGTAGCTTGACCTTTTTAAAACAATCTGCAACCATTAATTTTTAAACCAGCATATGCTGAACTGGGTATCTCAGCTAAAATGTTGTTGATAAATAAATAAATAAAGATAATTTTTCTTTCTGTTTCAGGACACCATTGCTAAAATCCCCTTAGTCATTTATGTCTCTGGATTTTTGTCCACATTCCTTTCAAAACCATTGAACAAATGTTATGGTAGGAAGGTAGGAGCATTTTTCATAATATTTATATAACCTACCAGGCACACTCTGATGCTCCGATCTAGTTGATTCCTGGTGATTTTCGACTGATGAGTGTTGTTGCTTACTTTGTGAGACTGAGTGATTGATGTGTGATGATGATAAACAGATGTGCATTCTCAAATGATTACTCTCTGGTGATTCTAGAGATCTAAAAACTCTCATGGTCACTAGCCTGTGTTAGGTGGTTTGAACAATCTAAATTGTGCTTGTCAACTCTTTTGATTCAAGGGATTGAGACTTTTGTCTTTCAGAGAGTCTTTAGAATTATTCAACTTTGCCTTGGAAAGAAGGCAGTCAAATAGAGAAATTGTTAACTTTCTTCATTTTTGTGTTCCTATAGACCACTTTCATAAATGGCTGCTGGATTAATATTCTTTTGTTCAAATTTAAATTTGCCTAGGTGGCCTCGTTCTCCAGTACAAAATTCAAAAGAATACATTATCTCAAGCGAGGCCACCCAGGCAAATTTACATTTAAACAAAAGAATATTAATCCAGCAGCCATTTATGAAAGTGGTCTATTGTTTGAATTTTTTGTAGTTTTCCAAAGTTGTACCCTTGGAATTATCCATATACCCTAATTATCTTAAAAGAATGCTTTCTTAATTAAGTTTGTTTACAATCTAATTTGTCTTCTAGGGAACATTTTTCCTTGGAATTCTTATGATAGGAGGGGTGAGGTAAGTTGTTATAAACCAAATTTTTCCTTCTTGAGATACATTTGTGAGTAAATAACTAACAGTACATTGAAGTTGCTGCAGCTGTTGTTTATGATTTCCAAAGGTTAACTGTCTTATATAAATGTTTGAGGATTCTAAAGGATGGAGATTTATTACAATAATGTCACTGCAAATTACACAGCAAATGTGATGACAAAGGGGGAAAAGTCATGCAATAGTGTGCATAATCTGAATTATTGAGTTCTTCATGAGATTTCTCCAGCATGCAAAAGAATGAGAGCTTGGTGAGCAGATGTGAAATATTATCCTTAAAAGGTTGTTTGGTTCTTGCATGTATATTTTTGGAGAACTGATCTGTTTTATTGGTTGTTGCTGTTTCCACAGTGCATGGATGTATTACATAAATGAGAAGGACTACACATCAGCATATGGAGCCTCTGCATTATTAGGAGTCGGTGGATCGACTTTACTTGTCACTGCACTGACTATGCTCGCAGATCTGATTGGGGAGAATGTGGTATGTTGTCTTGTGTGGCTTGATTAAGTTTTCATTGGTGCATTTCCTTTTTCAATTTATCTGATATGATGAATTGTTTGTGGTTATTCCAGGAAACAGGTGCATTTGTTTATGGAGCAATGAGTTTCACAGACAAATTATCCAATGGAGTTACAATTCAACTCATACAGATATTTCATCCATGTAACAAATTGGGCGAGTAAGTATCATTAACTTGTGGATACGTCTTAAAGTGAATTCACAAATGACTGGTACCTGAAAACTTCTCACATGAACTTGTAATGCTTTGATTTATCAAAACAATTTGATAACTCAACAATGATGTGCTGTGCAGTAGAATTGTTTTGAGGAAGCATATTTTAATTGATCTACTACTGGTTAGATAGCATCAGACACCAACAAACTGGAGAAAGACGTGTGTTAGTCACGTGTACTTCTTACTGGTGTTCCTGTAACAACTGATTTGCAAGAACACATAAATTATACCTGAAAAGTCAAATGAAAGACATGTGTTCATCAGAGGAATGGTGTACTGGCATGCAACTCAGTAGACTTTGCCAAATGAAGTATCTTTCAAATCCACAATCAAGGTAAAATATTACCATCCTTCCAATTACTTGCAGAACACTTTCAACATTACTGATCCTAGTATTATGTGGACTTTTTGTCACTTATAAACTTGATATACAACCCACTTATTGCATAGTTCACCATTTGGTGACTCCCATCATCATTAAGAAATTTGTTTCAATAAGATTTGAGCTTGCGTGAAATCAACACAGTTGAGACAGAAACTTTGGCAAATTTGTCGTGTTGTAAAGTGCGCCATTTACCTGGGTTGTACCGTGTTTAGGGCAGAACTTTAAGGCGTTATTTTCCTTGGAAAGGCGTTTAATTAGGTGCGGTATTGTTGCTGTAATCTTTAGGCCTTTCCAGTCTTCTAAGAGGTTATGACGTCATGCTAACGTGTCATAGATATAATACACGTCATAACAGCGTGTATTATATCTAGAATGAGAACATTTATACTGTGTAATCTTATTTTTCGTTTTGATTAGTACTCTAATCATAATATGATTACTTTACGCCGCCTTAACTTGCAGTTGATTAATGCCAGCTAATATAACTGTCTTTAGCCAGCATCTGCTCGCTTGTTTACCTGTGCGCCAGGTTGCGCCTGTTTAGACTAGTTAATTCATTTTGAATGTCCCGTTTCTATACTTTTGTGTGCTCGAAAAGTCGTGTTGCAGTACTTAGTCCTTGGAATGGAAACTCTACAGCTTCCCCTCATGGAATACGACGCAATCATCCTCATATGTACGAGTTTATATCAACCAACTTCATGGTCATGTAGTTACAATTACGCTGTAATAGGTCGTTTTTTGAATGCAAATCGATAGTTGTACTGTATAAGTCCCATGTGACCTGCAAGGACACATTCTATGACACCCTGCAGTATTCACGCTTTTTAAGACGTCTGCCCCTTAAAAATAAGCTGTTCACATGATGTCCAATTCCTCTGCTTGAAAACGGGAGAAGTGCAAAGTCATTTCACTTTGTACTTAGCCTCGTTTAAGAGTGAGGGTTTCTTAGAACTCGGAATGGTTTATCGTGGTTAGTTTAACCGTCAATAGAGAGTGTAAATCCAAAAGGTAGGGAGAAATACTAGAGTACGTGTGAGTACAGAAGGTAAAGAGACCTAGCCTTTTGGCTGCTGACCACTTCTCTTCAACGCGCCCTTAAGTATTTAACTTGAGCAAACGAGAGTGATAGAACTGTTTCCTCTCGGGCAATGCAGCGCGAAGCCTCACTGACCAAAAGTGACTATACTTGGTATGACTGAACTTACGAGCTCTACCAACTGAACTTATTGATTTGCTGATAATACAGTTATTTTTATTTCCTTAGGACCTGCTGTGCAGGATGTGAAATATATTACAAAGAGGTCATGGTGTTTGTTACGGGTGGAGCAACCATAATTTCATTGCTGGTTCTAATCAGTATGTTGAAGACGAAAATAGGAGATTTCGAAGGTAACATTTTTTAGAAGTGAAGAAAAGCCTCGATTTTTTATCTATTTATCTTTTTATTCGTCTATTAATTTTTTTTTGTTAGAATAGACTCGTATACTCTCACAAATTCCGCGTAATCTTACCCTATTTATCTCAGCTGACAACACAGTGCATGAAGCGACCATTTCTCGTCATGCTGCATCAGACTAAATCCTGAAAGTACCTTCGAAATAGGTAGATTCTTAAAAAGTACTTTTCTGAAGGTTAAGTTTCTTCGCGCGAATTGGAAAAGATACTCCATCAGGGCATTGCACTTATAAAATAAACAAGATCCAAAAAGTGTCGGAGACTTCGTAATTTCAGTAGAACAGAGGTTTACTTTCTTAATTAACACCGTTGAAATGAGGCAACCTTGAATGAACTTTCATTAATTATCACTTAGCAACGACCAATAGGAGATCAGATTAGTCATTCTATTACGCGATATCTCGATGTATGACACTAGGGCCCCACCTTTTGAGGAGAGTAGTTTTACACACCCGTTGTAAGACGAATTCGAGAGACATTGATTAAACGCTTAGTTTTAACTGAGTCGAGTCTACTGTTTGAGAGTACTGATAGGTCACAACCCCTCGTAAACGGGGCAGAGTTTACGGAATAAGAAGCAAAAAAGTGGAAAGGCGCTCGAGCGAAGACATGTCTGAAGTTTTGACCTTTGTGTGGTTTTTCTTATAGAATCTGGGGAAATAGAGGCGAACGTACAAGATAAACTGCTTGGTCAGAACGCTTCAGTGAGTACCAGCATGTCAAGATCTGTTGGATCGCCGCCCAATCAACCGTGCCTCATGTACGAACCTTCAACCCCGCCCAGGTATGGATCACTACAAGGGTCACCTCACGATGTTCCATGCTCGATACAAGAAGATTTTGCAAGTTCACAAGAGAGGGCGAGAAGGAACTGTGAGCGGTGATTATACGCTGACAAATCAGAAATGTGATTATTGATTAACGGTATCAACGTTGAAAGGAATGTGGTGCTAATCTCATTGGAAGTTAACGAATATGGCTGAAATTTGGATGCCACCAGCTTGAAGTGTTCAAACGAACCTGCGAATTTTGTACTAAATCACATATTCCAGTAACAAAAAATTCTGCAGGCACTAGCATGAGGTGTTTGAAGCGATAATAAAGGAATTATTCTAAAATCTCAGATTCAAGGAAAGAAAATTTACAGCAGTTTTGTAGCATGGAAAACATGGACTAGATCGTCATTGGTTTTCTTTTTTTTTTCTTTTTTTTCTCTGAGTTAGAGTGAATAATTTTGAATACAAGTAACGCTACATAGAGAAATATCTACAGCCGGTCTTTTTTGGATTTATTTTGTAAAAATAAAGTAAAGATAAATCTAAATATTTAAGTGAGAATTGGAAAGAGGAGAACTCTTTTATTCTATTTCTGCTAAATTGGACTATATACAAAAGGATAAGAATAAACGTTATTTCTGGCGATAAAGGAAACAGTAACAGTATTCATATTGCATCTCTTGATGCAGAGAGATTAATATTCTCACGAGATTTTAATACTTTTCTCCCGTTTGCAGAGAAATGCTTATCAAATGCAGGGGAACTTACTTAAAAGTTTAATCAGTCTTTACAACGAAGCTTCGCCATTTATGGTGAAGCATCACCTCGTTATACCTTTTTATAGAACTCTAGGATATGCATTGAAAGCGACAATTTTCAGAAAGTAGCGCAATATTTTAGGCAACAAATAGAAATGAGATAAATACAATTACATTAATTTATCTTACATGTGTTCAAGGAGTGGTCTCTGACGTTTAGTTTTTCGACAAATTTTAAAGTCAACTTCCTTGGATGCCGTTCATAATTAGAACATAGCACGGGAAAGCGCGAGTAACCAAGTTGTGAATGGATGTACTTTTTCTTTTTATTGGATGAGAGGATAACACAAGTTTTCACCTCTTTCGATCAACCGGTAACAACTGTTCAGTGTTTCCTTTAATTCTTTTCTCTTCCCGTACTTTTGTCTCAGAAAGGATTCAAGAGACTTATAACACGATCGCTCGTATTTACGGTCAATCAAGTTCGAGTTGCATTGTAATGTTTGATCCATTTGTTGAAGTCCTTGATGTAATAACTTTCCTAAATGTAGTAAAGTCCAAGATGTAATAACATTTGGTGTTAAATGTTGTACAGTCCTAAATGTATTAAGCCTACAATGCAATCGTTTGACTGCGCTAGGGCATTGTTGTTATAGCGGACATCTGCATCGAGGTGTTAAAGCGACAGCTGTTGCATCAAAAACTTGTCTGACAAGCATTCATGTCATTGCGGGCTTGCCGATATATCAATCAGCATCTTTTTACTTGTTAGACTTAAGTCGAGAAGCGTTGGCTGCAAACCGTTCTACTGACGGCATCAAATGACAGCCTGCAAAACATTGAGTACGCTGACTAATACCTCCATATATCACTGGCTCAGACTCAAGTACATTAAATTTTGGGAAAATTTGCTAACGTTTTACTTGTGTGATCAGTGATGGAGGTACAAGTCAAACTAAATTACAAACTTGGACAAGGGAGACTGCAAACTTGTAGGTCGGACAATTTTCAGGCTTGGATATACATTTATCGTCTTTCCTTTCTTGACGAGACCTTGTTAGCATGCACATTTTGTTTCTCAATTCGGGCCTCGTGACAACTCTCTAGAGAGATATTGCTTTCAAATTCTAGAATATTTTCGTGATTATATGAATAGAGACGAGAAAATAGTTGGGAACAATTATGTTCTCTTGATCTTGAAATGCATGCAACAAATCCGACAAACGAAAAAGGTACTGCATGGGTCTGCATCAAATTATAAACTCTGGGACTTTCATTTAACAGGTGTAAAGTGAAAAGAAGCTACTACACACTAAAAATGGTTATTTATGTTAAAGGCTGTAAATGATGTCCCAGTCCCCAGAAACTCGCGCAAAAATTTGTGCTCTTGCTTTCTCTGAGATGTGAGTAAAAACTAATCCTGTAAAGCCGTTTTTAATGGTCTACTAAGTGATTTAAAAGAAAAAAACGGAAACATCCTTAACCGTTCTGTTGAATAACTCAAGGTGTCAAGGAACGAAACTCCAACACCTTATTCCAAAATGGCCGCTGTCTCAGATGATCTGGGTCGGGTTGCATGAAAGGAGGCACCGAGGGCCAAACTGCGGTGTTTACAAATGCTAATACGTTGGAATACGCTGTCATGCCTCAGAATTGCTGTGTACTAGGGTGTAAAAAGAAGGTTTATGTCGAAAACGGGATAAAGATTTCTTTCCACACATTTCCCGAAGAAAGAAAGTGTCCCCAATTAGTGCTTACAGGCACTAGAACGACTAGACACGTTAATAAAGGTTATGTATGTATTTATGAAATGGATCGTCGGTATTCGAAGAGATATAGGCAAACATTTCCAAGTGACAACTCGTACAGAGTTTGCTCGAGACATTTCAAGCCATCGGATTATTTTCCCTCACTGACTTGCGGGGCGTAAAAGGACTTTAAAACCAACTGTAATATCTTCTGTATTTTACTGGAAGAGATCCCCAGAATATTTACAGACTTTCATCATCAAAGCCAGGATATGGTTGCAGAAGCCTAACTTTCCAGCAGCACAACTTGGCCCACAGTAGGCATATTCTACTTCTCCAGAAATATTGCAGAGCGCAAGTTTCAAGTTATGTGGTTCCTCGCGGACTTTGAAACTGTGGAAGCACTTCGCGCGATAATAGAAATAACTGATCTTGTTGAATCTGGATCTCGTGAAGGTATTCATCAGCCAGAATAGCCTTGGCTTTTCGAAGTCCTGTAGGCAACGAGTGATATTCGCTGTTTTGGTGCTTTTTGGTGCTTTTTGTTGCTTTTTGGTGCTTTTTTCCTGAATTCGCAATATGTCTGTCCATTTCCGCACAGGTAAATAATGGACTTTTTGCAAGTGCTGTCGCCCATCCATCAGTTGGAAAAGCTACCTTTTTTGTGTTATCAGAAGGGGTTGACGAGTTCGGCATGTTCGGATCCAAAGTATCTTCAAGGTCAAGGAGTCGCCTTTTTCGCCTGGTATAAACAAAATTTACGTCAGGGTCTACAAGATGTTCAATCTTCGCTCCCGAATACTGAGTCATTTACCCTGAGAGAGAATGAAGCGATTGCGAATCTAGGCCACGCACTGCAACGAAGGTTATTGTGGACTCAACACTTACCGCTTACAAAGTTGCGCTTTTGTGGACAATCCTTTACACGAATCGCCTCGACACCTTAACCAAAACTTTAACGCGGAGTTCTTTAATCGATTCGGATCTCTTTAATTCAATAAACTGCCAGGAATATCGTCCTCCGTCAAAAACGAAGGACCGGACACAAGGTTGTCTCGAAAGGACGCCATGATATTGTTTTCCGTAAATATTCTGGGGATCTCTTCTTCTAGTAAAATACAGAAGGTACAGCTGTTGGTTTTAAAGTCTTTTTACGCCCCGAGAGTGAAGGGAGATAATCCGATGGATTGCGGAAATGTCTTGAGTAAACTCTATGTGCGTTGTCACTTGGAAATGTTTGCCTATATCTCTTTGAATAGCGACGATCCATTTCATAAATATTTTTTTTTCTTTAGGAAATGTGTGGAACGAAATCTTTACTCTGTTTTCGACGTAAACCTTCTATTTACACCCTGGCACAGCAATTCTGAGGCATGAGAGCGTATCGTGACAGCGTATTATCATTTGGCCCTCGATGCCTCGTTTTCATGAAACTCGACCCAGATCATCTGAGACAGCCGCCATTTCGGAATAAGGTGTTTGAGATGTAACCCTTACTGCAATCTTAGATCTGACTTTAGCCCCGTTTAGTCACCGGAATTTTAGAGAAACGGACCACAAAACGCAGGGTCTAGTTTTGGAGAACCGGGCAGCATAGTATGCTGCCAAGAAATACACAGACCATACACCTCGAGCTCGGGTGTGTGTTCGTGCTCTCCATGTCTTTCGCACAGTCCCAGTCTCTTGCTACCATGCTGTTAATGTGCATGAATGGCTGACACGAAAGAGTGGTATGGTGATATTTTTCAAAACTTTCAGTGCAATCGTGTTATTAAGGCGAGTTAGTGTTACAAACCTGCGATCGTTTATCCGCCAGACCATGTTTACAAAATCACGACTGCTCGACCTACGTGAGGATATTTCGAAGGCTGCAGATCGGATAAATCTGCACGTGAGGAAAACCCCTTTGGAGTATTCCCCTTGGTTAAGTGACATAGGAAAGTCGAAGGTCTATGTTAAACTAGGTAAGTATAGAGTAAACAACCTTTAGTACTCATCCACGTTACGAAATTTCTTCGTGACCTATCCGCGATTAATAATGATGGAAAAAAACAAGATCATAACAATTCGAAGGTTAATTAGCAATGACTCGAAATAAAACCCAACACAATTAATGCGTGACGCGTGAATTATACAGTACAGGCAAAATAATGTGCCTAAAAGTCTTGCTTGAAACGGGATTAGCCTCTCCTCCCCCTTTGCTACCTTCTTTAATTTGGTCTCAGGAGTTCTACGACCAATGAGCCCTTACCCCCTCCGTTGCCCCTTTAGGTTGGTTTTGCTAGTGGTAGTCTACGATAGGGTTGGAAACAAAGCGATAAGGATTTGTTAATAGGGTTAAAAAATATCATATACCAAAGAGTCGTACATGATTAATAATAAAGATGATGATTTTTTTCTATTTTTAAGCATACATCATAGCTTACGTGATAACAACTTTTGGAGCAACTTCAGAATACCCGTCCACATCATTTACATATGTCGGGAGGCTTTGAAGAATGAGGCATAACACAATAGACGCTATTCTTATTCAGTGACATAGAAATGATGTGGCCAGGTATTCTGAAGTTTAGCCCAACTTTTATATTTGTATTTTCAGATAGGTTTTTAGTAATAGCTTTAATGTTTACACACCTTGCATCCTAATTGAATTTTTATATTTTTAGATTTTAAATTGTGCAATTGTGATTATAATGTTAATTTAGCGTGCAGGTCCACATCAGGACTTATGGTCTTGCCTATTTTAGTAACCTGCCTTAACAAATAAACTTGTTGTTGTTGTTGTTGTTCATCATGCAGTTTAAGATTTTAAGAATTTCTTGTCAAATAGGCTCGATAAAACATATTGCAACTTGAAAGATGTGGAGTTTCAATAAAAACTGATTAGGATGAATAAACCATAGGCCCCATCTCCTGCAGGGTTAGGGGTAGGAGACGTTAATTTCCCAAGCACGAGATTACTATGTACATAGTGGATGTCCTCCCCTGGGGTGGGATGGGTGGGAATTGGCCCTGAAAAGCCCCCATGGGGAGTGGTAACATATGTATGTATGTATGTATGTGTGTGTGTGTGTATGTATGTATGTATGTATGTATGTATGTATGTATGTATGTATGTATGTATGTATTACTCCACTAGTCCATGTCCACTTATAGGTACTCTTGCCTTCTG